GATAAACTAATTTAAGCTCCTTCTGTACTGGATGTCTTGGATTAAATTGGCATGGTACCTAATGAAGCTGAAGCTCCATTTGTTGTGCTGGAAGCCCTAAATATCAGCGGCGTAATTGGTGCTACCTACTTTAAAAGGCATTTGTGTGTTTTTCTCCCAGCAAAAAGCCCTCTGAGGGTGCTGACTGATGCCCGAGGGGTGGTGGGGAGAGGCAGAAGGGCTGTAGGTTGTGTCTGCTTGGCTTGTGGGCTGGAGAGGTCTTGAAATTTGGCTTTGGAGCTGGAGGACAGATGGGATGAGCATGTCCAGCCCCACGCATGTGTTGTTCTCCAGTACAGGGAGGCTGTGCTGGCTTGTGTGCACCGGAGCAGACCTCGTGCGGGTGCTGGGGCTGGGCTGGGCTCTCTGATGTGGTTGCACACCTCCTTTTGTTGTGGTGAGCTATGAAAACAGCATCTCTCAGGGTGCTGGGACTGGGTTGGGGTGTGTTTGGGGCTGGTCCTGGGTCAGGATATAACCCAGTGGCTCTCAGCTTCCCTGGGGGAGTGAGTCTCTGCAACCCTGAGTGCTTCAGCGGGGGTGTATGATGTGTTATTTAGGGTTATCCTGGAGGGTTCCCACAGGTGCTGGCTGATGCTTGGGCACAGTTCTGCACCTGCATCCCCAAAACAGGACTGCTGAATGCTGGTTTTAGGGTGTTTTCTAGGCTGATGTCCAAAGTATTTGTGTTTTTCCTATGTTTATCTCTAATTTACCCTGTTGGTTTGGGTTTTGAGGCTGTACTGAGCTGCTGTGTCCTGGTGTGACGTGGCCAGTTGGTCAGGCCATAGATAGTCTTCCTACTGCACCTTACCATGCTGGTGCAAGGCTGGGGAGTGGGGATCACAAGGGGGAAAGCCCAGGCCAGGGAAAGAACCACCATCACCTCTACCATTAGTGAAACGTGGCTCATCAAGAGGCTGAGGTTTGGCACCGCAGGGCAGGAGGTGAAACCTTTCCCATCTCCATCACCCTGTGAACCCCCCTTCAGCAGAGTCAGCCACCGCTGCCCCCATGGGCTTGTCGGTGCTGGGAGGGGATCAGACAGGTTGTTAATTAGGGGGATGAAAGAGCAGTCTGGGCAAAACCAGTGCTGCAAGACTTTCAGCTGGGATTGCCCTGGAGAGGCTGTAATTGCCCCCGTTGGATGCTGCTGGGCTCAGACAAGGGGGTCTTTTTTGGGGTCCTTGTGCAGGGAAGGATCTCCCTACCTCCTGGGGAGGAAGCCATTCATGCAGGAGGTCCTGCTGCCCACGCAGAGCTGCGTGGCTGAGAAAGGGGAAATGTGAAAGCATGCTGGGCCCCCTTGGTCCCTACTAGGAACAGTAACATCTCCAACTGGAGCCTTTGTCCCCAGGAAGGGAACCAGAGCACCCAAGCCTGCGGGGGCGGGTGAGCTTGGCCAGAGCACGTGCCTTCCCCAAAATTGGGTGCTGGCAGCGTGATTCAAGTTCCACATCGTGCCTCAGAGCTGTGAAAATCAACCTATTCTTGAAAAGCTCCTGCTAAAAGGCTACCCCCCAGCCCCTGAGCTGGCTGCTGCGTGCCCCCCCCGGCCCCAGGAGACCCGTCCCCCCAAAAAAAACCATCCCTGTGGGCACAGTTGGTTTTAAAGCGAGTAGAAGCGAGGGCAGCCCGGCTGCCCGCTGGCAGCACAGGGATCCTGGCAGTGCTGCCTGCCCTGCCAAACGGCGCGGCAGCCTCCTGCTCGCCGTGGGTGTTGGGAGCAGGAGGAAGCTGCTAAGGATGGCGTCGTGCCTCCCGAAATGCTGCGCTCTCTCTCCGTCTCGGGTGCGAGAAGGAGCCCAACGCTCCTCTTCCCCCCTCCAGGGTTCGTTGCCAGCCTGTGGGGCAGGGGTTGCCCTCCCGGGGTGGCTCCCCCAAACCCCCCCCCTGTCTTGGAGCGCTGCCGAGTGGAAGGACCATGGGCAGGAGGGGAGGCAGCTGAGCCTGCCCATATGCTTCCTAATGGGGAGCAATAGCAGCTCTTCCCGGGAAGCTCACGCTGCACCATCTGCTCTGCCGCGCTGCCTTCCCTTGCAAGCAGCTTTTTATAAGCTCTAACTTTTCCTTCCCGAGCGCAGTGTGCTCCCGCCGTGGCTGCTTGTGGCCGTACGGGGCTGTCTCTGCTTCAGAATTGCCTGCAAACAGGTTGTCTGAACCTTCGACGCCGAGCGGGAGAACAGCCCCGACAGGCTGCAGTCAGCCAGGCCTGCAGGGAACTGCGCTTCCATTTTAAAAAATAACCAGGAAAGTGGCTGCGGCGCGTCCCCAGACACCTTCCCTCTCGCTGGGTGCCTGCTCCCGGGCCGGGACGGGGTGGGATGTGCTGCCCAGTGGCAGTGTCGCTGCAAACTTTCCACAAACCCCTGCTAATCCCACATCCCGCCCCTCTGCGAACGGATTATTTATTTCCACGCCGTGCTGCATGTGCAAAAGGCCAAAGGCCAGACCCCACGCCTCCTCTGCGTCCCTGCCGCTCGCTCACGTCCTCGCCAGCTGTGCAAAGGGGAAATAAACACAAGAGCAGCGCTGGCCACAATTTATTTTGCAGCAGGAGCAGCGCTGGCAGCAGCCTCCAGCTGCCGGGGGTGCTCCCTGAGGGATGGGGATGTAGGGGGGGATGCAGTGCAGATGCCTGGGGGGGCCGGTCCCAGCTCCCAGTGGTGAAGGCAGCTAAATTAAGGCTGGATGCAACACAGGGGTGTAGCTGGGGCCGAGGGGGAGGCTGACGGGGATGCGGCGCAGGCAGACGCCGTGCACAGATTGATGGTGCCAAGTCACTTCAGATATCTTTGGTGTTTGTTTGTGCGAAGCTCTAAATAAAGCCGACAGCCCCAGCGGCTGCCTGGAGGGGGGGGAGGAGGAGGAGGAGGGAGCCAGCAGTCGGTCCCCTGGCATGGCATGGCACCCAGTGGTGCCCTCGGGGACCAGCCTGGCGTGGGAGAGCAGTTGGGTGTGATCTGCACTGCTGGGGATGCTGTGGGGTGGGTGGCTGGGGCTGGGAGCACCCGCTCTGCAGAGGGTCTGCCCCATCCCAGGCTGGTTTTGGGGACCTACGGGAGGTCCTGCTGGGAGCTGCTGGCATCAGGTCTGGCTGTAGGTGACTGTGCCCTCGGCAGGGCACAGGGGAAACAAGCTGGTCCCTGTCCTGGCCTTGGTGAAGTGCCCACGGCTGGTGGGAGAAGCTGCAGCAGGCAGGGATAGAGAATGTCCTTGTGTGTCCTCTGGGAAGGACTGTGTGTCAGGGAGGAGCAGGGCAGCGCAGGGACATGCACCCCATGGATCCTCATGTCCAGACATCCTCCTCCTCCTCCTCCATGCCCTCCCTCAGCCCCATCTCAGCTACCTCATCCTCAGGATCTTGCCTCTACCCTTCAGATGGGCTCCTGCTAAGCCCATTCCCCCGCTGAGGGATGTCACAGGGATGTCCCCATGCTCCCAGGCTGGGACTCAAGGAGCAGCCCCCTTCAAGCAAGGGGTGCAGGTCTCTCCCCTCCCTCCCCATCCACCCTCCATCCGTCTGTGCTGCACCAGGGTCTCCTCCTTGCTCTGTCAGGGCTGAGCTGTCCTGTCCCCATGGCACCTCCAAAATGCCACTTGTGCCTCTGCCATGGGCTCAGCCACCGGTCCTGGGTGGGACAAAACGCCCTGTGTGTTAAGAAGCCTCAAATCTGTGTGCCCCCCCAGCAAACCATTGTATTTTCCCCCCCAGTTCCAGTGCAGTGATGCTGGGCTGTGTCTTTGCCAAAGCCATGGATGTTCTGGTCCCAGCACAGGAAGCCTGTGGCAAGTTGGGGGGGTGGGGGGGGACACCCCAGCCCCCCTCCTCCTCCTCCCAGCCCTGGACGGGCACTGGGGCCACTGAACCATCCTTCCTCTGCCCCAGCTGCTTCCTCCGCCCGGCGCCGTGTCCTGCTTGCCCCGGGGGGGGCCGGGCATCCCGGGGGGAGCCGGGCACCCCGT